GACTTGGCACCGTCACAGCAAGTCAAACTCGGATCCCCCCCCACCCACCACTGCACAAAGGCTCATGTCAGGCACCACACCACACCACACTACACTACACCCCACCACCGGGCACCACCAAGAGGTTACCGATGCAGGCACGAGGCACTCCAGCCCAAGCCAGGCGGAAGCAGGTCAGCCGGCAAGGGAGCAGCCGAGTCGTTGGGACGGGGCAGCCAATAGCGGGCAAGACCCGGGCACCCGCCCTGTCAGACGAGCAAAAAGATCGTGTGGGTTGCATCGGCCACCGTTTGTTGGTGGATCCACTAGTCGACTAGCTGAGCGGGAAACCCGCTTATGGCCGGTCATGGCCGGACACGGTTCCGTTGCCGTTGGGTTGGTTGTTTGTCTGTCTCAGATCCCCTCGTAGAATCGCCGACTGCAAGATGCACACCACACAGGCACATGCATACATACATAACTAGGGACATACATAGCCCCCACCCCACCCCCTTTCACTCCGGGCCCCAGGCCGGGGAACAAGAGCGGCGAAAGGAGTTATGCACAACCCACCCACCCACACACCCACGGGGGATCTCCGCCCGAAGGTGAGTGAGACACCGGACCGGGCTAGCTGCCGCGCCGCAGCTGCGTCACACAACAAACGAGTCAACGTCGGCCACCTCCTTCGGTTATATGTGCCGTCGCCCGTCGCCGTCCTCGTCGGTGACTGTCTACCTTAGCATTTGTGTTCCCCGTGCCGACGCTCCGGGGTGCGCAATTCTTACTTGCCTGTTTCCCTTGGCCGTTGTAACACCATTGGTTACCTAGTGTTAGTGCCAACCAGGCTAGTTGGTAAAGACGGCGACCTCGGGCTCACAAAGTTCATGATCGAAAACTCGTTAGTTAATCGAATCTGGAAATGGAACGCACCCGCGGGCCTGCCCCACCGTATCCCCGGGGGGAACCACCGACACCATCGACAGGCACACGCCCCCCGTTTTCCAATCAAGCTCCCAGTTTAGGATCTGGCAAACCAATAACTCATGCGTTCCCCGGAAATTTCGGCCATTAAAGTGCACACATGTTACTCCCCAGCAGCTCCGCGAGCTAGTTAGATACTTATGTCAAGGTAGGAAAACAAAAAAAAAAAAGGAAAAAATACCGGCTCAAGCATGCGGCTGTCACAGCCCTTTTCCAATACAAACCCTACAATCCCCATCCCGTGCCCAATCCCCGAGACGCTTTTTCGGCCGTTGTTGAACCCAAAACCAAGCCCATAGCCAACCAAAAAAGTCCCCCATATCCATCAATAGTTCAGCCCCGTCATACACACACCCCCAATTTTTCATTTTCTGTCCCCCTTCCAGTCCACCCCCTGGAAAACACTCCCCAGCCTACCGTCTACCCCCGACTAACGCCCCCATTCAACGGCCCCAGCCCCACGCCCCCAACCGTGGTAAACTCACTCATAATCCCCTCATCGGCACTGATACTGCTCATCATCTGCTCCTGGGTAAAGCCGACCCAGAAAGCGGGCGAGATCTGCTGGGCCTTCTTCTCGCGGTAGATTTCCTGGGCGACGCCCTTGACCTGGGCCCAGGCGGTGTCGGCGGCCTTCCAGACCTTGCTCAGCTTGTTGAGCGCGCCGATGTTGAGGCGGATCTGCTGGCGCAGGTGGTCCTCGTCGTCGACGAAATACAGCGCCCACTTGGACAGGTGCACAATGGACGAGAGCGTGATCACGCACGTGAAGAAATGCGTGTGCTGCGTGATGGGCACCGCCTGCGTGATCATCTTGGAGATCTCCGAGGCTGCGGTGAGCGTGTGGCGTGTGTGTGCGTTGAAGACGTCGCCTGACGGGACGGGGCGGTGGGGGGCGCAGGAGTTGACGGCTTGGACGGGGGTGGTGTCGAGTTGGGAGAGGGGCTGGTGGAGCATGAGGGTGCAGCTGGAAAGGGGGGGGGGTCGGGGATTAGTTCATGCATGCCCAGACTAAAAGGGAGGATCAACGGGAAACGTACGCATGCGTGATGAAATGGGCCTGGAACATCATCTCGTCGAGCTGGCAGCTCTTGCTGAGGTCGTCGCGCTTGCTGTCCGGTAAGTGCATCCTCCAGTTGGTGAGCAGCGATTGCACGCGGTCGATGACGGCGTCGTCGGGGAACATGACGGGCGGCGTGTGCATCATGCGCCCGAGGTTGCGCGCCGCCGCAATGCGGTACGTGAAGGACGAGAACTCGCGATCATCATCCAAAAAAGTCTGGTCGTCAAAGTCCTCCATGTAGAGGGTTTGGGGGATGCGCTGCGGCTAGTGTTAGCGAGACGCGGGCGTGGTACGTTTACAAACTAGCAAACCTACCCCTGTGAGATACTCCGTCTCCTCGCATGGCAAGCCTACGTCCGCTTGGATGTTGAAGAGCAGGAATTTGGTCACGCGGTGGACGCCGGCGATCATGCCATCGCAGACGTAGAGGTCCCACCAGGTCCGCCGCCAGCTCTCCTCGAGCACGGGGTTGCCGCGGCCATGGAGGGTGGCAAAGTCACGCTTGTTGAGATCGATCTCCAAGGCGAACTGCTCGCAGTCGGCAAGCAGCTCCCGGGCTCGCGCCTGGTTGCACTGCCCGTCCAGGCCGACGATGATGAGCAGCAGGGCCTGGACCAAGTAGCCGTCCTTGGGGGTGCCGGGCTGGTAGCACAGGCGGATGGCATCGTCTAGGTAGGTGGCCTTGGCGGGGCCGGCATCGACGTACAGCGAGCCGATGTATTTCATGGCGGCCATGACCACGTTAAGGTTGGGGGTTGTCCCCTCCTTGAGCATGCGGATAAAGTAGTCCTTGGGCAGCACAAACGGATGGCCCGCGTGGAAGAAGTGGTAGAAGGCATCAAAGCACCGGTCCGCCAGCGAGGGCGGCGGCGGCTGAACCGGAAGCGCGGCCGGCGTGGTGGTCGCCAGAGCTAGAGCGTTGGGATCCATACCTGGGGCGAACGGGTTCCGGTAGAGGGGGACGTTGGTCATGGGGGAGGGAGTCGTATAAGAAGCCGGAGACTGGTCCGGGAGCACAATGCCCGGGTTGAAGCCCGCCAACGTCGGTGCAGGGAGCGGCACACCCCCATGTCCCAGTAGCATGGGACAGTTATCGTCCTCGGCCCCTGGGTACGGAGGCGAAGAGGATGCATGACGCTTGTTCGGATTGTGCGCCGTGCCCCTTCTCGGGCCCTTGTAACCGCGACGAGAGGGCACATAGAGGCACTCCTGGTTGGAGCTGGTACAGCGCGAGCAAGGGGTGTTCCCATCGCATTTGAGATGCTTGCCGCGCTGTTTGTGGTGTGTCCGAACGGGGATTAATTAGCACATCTACGTCACATAACTAACCCGCGAAATAAAAAAGGATCAAAAAAAGCAGCCAAAAATATGGGGTATCATAAAC